ACTCCTAGATCTTTCTCTCTGTCCGTTTTTAAGTACTTCATCTCCTATTCTGTATCCTGTGTCTGGCCTCCTGTTTCCACTGCCTAGTTTCATTACTTTGCATTTACTCGGGTTGAACTTCAACAGCCATTTGTTGGACCATTCACTCAGTCTGTCTAGGTCATCTTGTAGCCTCCTACTATCATCCTCTATTTCAATCCTCCTCATAATTTTTGCATAAACAGCAAACATTGAGAGAAACTAGTCTATACCCTCTGGGAGATCATTTACATATATCAGAAACAGAATAGGTCCAAGGACTGACCCCTGCGGGACTCCACTTGTAACGTCTCGCCAATCTGAAACCTCACTCCTCACACTGACTCATTGTCTCCTGTTTCTTAGGTACTCCTGTATCCAATGGAGTACTCTTCCCTTTTACTCCAGCTTGCATCTCCAGCTTTTTCACTAGCCTCTTGTGTCGAAGGCTTTCTAGCAATCCAAAAATATGCAGTCTGCCCACCCTTCTCTTTCTTGCCTTATTTTTGTTGCCTGATGGTAGAATTCAAGTAACCCTGTGAGGCAGGACCTGCCATCCCTGAACCCATGTTGATGCTCTTTTAGAAAGTTCTTTCGCTCCAGATGTTCCACTAGCTTTCTTCGCACAATTTTCTCCATCAGCGTGCATGGTATGCAGGTTAGGGACACTGGCCTGTAGTTCAGTGTCTCCTGTCTATCCCCTTTCTTGTATATTGGGACTACGTTAGCTGCTTTCCAAATTTCTGGTAGTTCCCCTGTTGCCAGTGATTTGTTATACACCATGGAGAGTGGCAGGAACAGTTCTTTTGCTCCTTCCTTTAGTATCCAAGGGGAGATTCCATCTGGGCCTATAGCCTTTGTCACATCCAACTCTAGTAAACACTTCCTTACTTACCCGCTGGTAATCTCAAACTCTTCCAGTGGTTCCTGGTTAACTATTCCCTCTCTTATCTCTGGAATTTCTCCTTGCTCTAAGGTGAAGACCTCCTGGAATTTCTTATTCAGTTCCTCACACACTTCCTTGTCGTTTGTAGTGAATCCTTCTGCCCCTATCCTTAATTTTATAACCTGTTCCTTTACTGTTGTTTTTCTCCTGATGTGGCTATGCAGTACTTTAAGCTGAGTCTTTGCCTTGCTTTCGATGTCATTTTCGTATTGTCTTTCTGCCTCTCTTCTCATCCTGACATATTCATTCCTGGCATTCTGGTATCTTTCTCTGCTCTCCAGTGTCCTGTTATTCCTAAAATTTCTCCATGTCCTTTTACTTTGCTGCTTAGCTAGCCTACATCTCTGATTAAACCATGGGTTTCTCATTTTCATTTCACTGTTTTCCTTTTGGACTGGGACAAACTTGTTTGCTGCGTCCTTGCACTTGTGCGTGATGTAGTCCATCATGTCTTGGGCCGTCTTTCCACTGAACTCTGTTTCCCATGCTATATCTGTTAGGAATTTTCTTATCTCCTCATAGTTTCCCTTTCGGTATGCCAACCTTTTGTTTTCGGTATCCCTCTTCGAGTTCAATAACCCTTCTTTAATTATGTACTCAAACACCAGTACACTGTGGTTGCTCATTCCTACTGGGGCCTCAAAACCGATTTCTCTTATGTCGGAGCCGTTCAGAGTGAAGACAAGGTCGAGTCTCGCTGGTTCGTCATTTCCTCTCATTCTTGTGGGTTCTCTGACATGCTTGGTTAAAAAGTTTCTAGTCACCACCTCCAATTGTTTGGCTCTCCACGTATCCTCGCCTCCATGCGGTTCCTTGTTCTCCCAGTCAATCCTTCCATGATTGAATTCCCCCATGATGAGCAGGTGGGATCTATTTCTACAGGCAGCAGAGACTGCCCTCTCAATTATAGTGTTAACTGCCATGTTGTTGTTTTCATACTCTTGACTGGGTCTTCTGTCATTTGGTGGAAGGTTGTATATTACTGCTACTACTATTCTTGCTCCTCCCATTGTCATGGTGCCTGCGATGTAGTTTCTGAAGCCCTCACAGCCCGGGATAGCCATCTCCTTAAAACTCCATTCCTTTCTCATGAGTAGGGCCCTCATGATTGGGGGAGCCGGTCGACTGAGCGGACAGCACACTGGACTTGTGATCCTGTGGCCCCGGGTTCTATCCCGGGCGCCGGCGAGAAACAATGGGCAGAGTTTCTTTCACCCTATGCCCCTGTTACCTAGCCGTAAAATAGGTACCTGGGTGTTAGTCAGCTGTCACGGGCTGCTTCCTGGGGGTGGAGGCCTGGTTGAGGGCCGGGCCGCAAGGACACTAAAGCCCCAAAATCATCTCAAGATAACCTCAAGATAACCTCAAGATAAGAAGATAGGGCCACTCTGCCTCCTACCCTACCTTCCCTCTCTTTCCTTATTACTGTGTACTCCTGGGGGAACACGGCATTCGTTATGATTCCAGAGAATTTTGTTTCAGTGAGTCCGATTACATCTGGGTTCACTTCTTGTGCTCTTTCCCTTAGTTCACTTGCCTTGCTTGTGATCCCATCTATGTTCGAGTACATTACCCTGAAACTGACTCTCTTCTGCTTCTCCTCTGGGGGGGACCTGTGGGATCTCGGGTGAGTGGGAGCTGGGAGGATCTGGTACTGGGAGACTGGTGGAGGAGGAAGGGCTTGGGGGGGGTGGGGGAGAGGGGGAGGGTATGGGGGTAGGTGAGAGGGGGGAGGGTAGGGGGGGAAAGTGAGAGGGGGAGGGTTGGGGGGAGAGTGAGAAGGGGAGGGTTGGGGGAGCATGGGGGAAGGAGAGGCTTTGGGGGATGGGGGAGAAGGGGGGGGGCCAGAAAAGGGGGGAGGGCTTGGAGGGTGTCAGGAAAAAGGGACGACTGAGGTGGGTGAGGAAGAGGGGAGGGTTTAGGGATTTGGTGGAGAGGGGAAGGCTTAGATGGGGTGGGGGGAGAGGGGGGGCTTATGGGGGCAGGGGAGAATGGAGGGCTTGTGGGTGGGAGAGATGGGAGGCCATGTGGAAAAAGGGAGGTCCTGGAGAGGGGGGTGAGTGGGAGGAGGGGGGTGGGTGGGGGGAGGGTGCCCTAGGTGGGTACTTAGTGGGGGGCTGACAGGGGATGGGGCAGGTAGGGTGTCTGTTGAGTAGAATGTGGGGGGGGGGTGCCCCACTCCCTGTGGCTGTTGCAATGTTTGAGGAGGGTTCCCCACTCCCCTCTGGGATTGTAGGATTCGGGGTTGTGGTTCTCTGATTCCTTTCTCTCTCCCTGCACTTCTTCCTCACATCTGCCTGCTTTCTCTCTTCCCTTGTCATATCCCTCTGCAAGAATACTTTTTTGAACTTCTGTACATTTGCTAGACGGCTAGACAGTATAGGTCCAAGGACTGACCCCTGCGGGACTCCACTTGTGACGTCTCGCCAATCTGAGACCTCACCCCTCACACAGACTCGTTGTCTCCTGTTGCTTAGGTACTCCTCTATCCACCGGAGTACCTTCCCTCTCACTCCAGCCTACATCTCCAACTTTCGCACTAGCCTCTTGTGTGGCACTGTATCAAAGGCTTTCTGACAATCCAAAAATATGCAGTCTGCCCACCCTTCTCTTTCTTGCCTTATTTTTGTTGCCTGGTCGTAGAATTCAAGTAACCCTGTGAGGCAGGACCTGCCATCCCTGAACCCATGTTGATGCTGTGTTGCAAAGTTCCTTCGCTCCAGATGCTCCACTAGTTTTTTTCGCACAATCTTCTCCATCAGCTTGCATGGTATGCAGGTTAGGGACACTGGCCTGTAGTTCAGTGCCTCCTGTCTATCCCCTTTCTTGTATATCGGGACTACGTTAGCTGCTTTCCAAATATCTGGCAGTTCCCCTGTTGCCAGTGATTTGTTATACACTATGGAGAGTGGTAGGCTCAGTTCTCTTGCTCCTTCCTTTAGAACCCAAGGGGAGATTCCATCTGGGCCTATAGCCTTCGTCACGTCCAACTCTAGTAAACACTTCCTTACTTCCCCACTGGTAATCTCAAACTCTTCCAGTGGTTCCTGGTTAGCTATTCCCTCACTTACCTCTGGAATTTCTCCTTGCTCTAAGGTGAAGACCTCCTGGAATTTCTTATTCAATTCCTCACACACTTCCTTGTCATTTGTAGTGAATCCTTCCGCCCCTATCCTTAATCTCATAACCTGTTCCTTTACTGTTGTTTTTCTCCTAATGTGGCTATGCAACAATTTAGGCTGAGCCTTTGCCTTGCTTGCGATGTCATTTTCGTATTGTCTTTCTGCCTCTCTTCTCATCCTGACATATTCATTCCTGGCATTCTGGTATCTTTCTCTCAATGTGTGTGTGTGTGTGTGTGTGTGTGTGTGTGTGTGTGTGTGATGCAGCAAGAGAAGGGGGTAGGTGGCGCAGGTGGGTATGACAGACAACTCATCACCATCACCACAGGGGGTGGAAATAGTGGAATGAGGTGGACTGGGGTGGGAGGGTGAAAGAGAGGAGGGAGGGGCGGGGTGGGGGTAGGGTGTTGCGGGAGTGTCCCCGGTCCTGTGTGTCTCTCTGTCTGTCTCTTTGCTGGTAATGATTTGTCCTATCATGAAAGACCAGATGGTGCACCACATGAAGCCTAGTTCTCTGTTGTACCCTCATTTGATGTAAGCTTGTCGCTGCTCCCCCTTTACTCTCTCGCCTTCTTATCCCCCTTCTTTATCCCCCACTCTTTATCCTCTCTATCCCTATCCTCTACTCCTTATCGTAGTCATTCTTGTATTTCTCAAATGTGTCAAGGTCTTCCTGTAACATTCTTGTAGGCCTGTTTGGTGGAGTTTTTGCGTTCCGTCTTAGCTTTGTGTCATCTGCACCAGTCACAGAACTGAGCCTTACCTGCTACATCTCTCTTAGCTCGAGTTTTCACTGCGATCCTCTGTTTTCTATCCGTCAGGTATTCCCTTGCCCAGCCCCCAAGTATTCACAGCTGTCGCATATTGTATTCCGTATTGCAGGCCATACTGTATCAGTATCAAATGGTCTTTACCTCTCTAGGAAGATGAAGTTTAGCTGCTTGCTGTCATAGCTGCTGTCATAGCTACTGGCATAGCTGCTGTCATAGCTGCTTACCGTCATAGCTGCTCAATGTCATAGCTGCTGTCATAGCTACTGTCATAGCTGCTGTCATAGCTGCTCACTGTCATAGCTGCTGTCATAGCTACTGTCATAGCTGCTGTCATAGCTGCTGTCATAGCTACTGTCATAGCTGCTCAATGTCATAGCTGCTGTCATAGCTACTGTCATAGCTGCTGTTATAGCTGCTGTCATAGCTGCTGTCATAGCTGCTGTCATAGCTGCTGTCATAGCTAGTGTCATAGCTGCTCAATGTCATAGCTGCTGTCATAGCTACTGTCATAGCTGCTGTCATAGCTGCTCACTGTCATAGCTGCTGTCATAGCTACTGTCATAGCTGCTGTCATAGCTGCTCAATGTCATAGCTGCTGTCATAGCTACTGTCATAGCTGCTGTCATAGGTGCTCAATGTCATAGCTGCTCACTGTCATAGCTGCTCACTGTCATAGCTGCTCATTGTCATAGCTGCTGTCATTGCTGCTCAACGTCATAGCTGCTCACTGTCATAGCTGCTGTCATAGCTGCTGTCATAGCTGCTCACTGTCATAGCTGCTGTCATAGCTGCTCACTGTCATAGCTGCTCAACGTCATAGCTGCTGTCATAGCTGCTCACTGTCATAGCTGCTGTCATAGCTGCTGTCATAGCTGCTCACTGTCATAGCTGCTCAACGTCATAGCTGCTGTCATAGCTGCTGTCATAGCTGCTGTCATAGCTGCTGTCATAGCTGCTGTCATAGCTGCTGTCATAGCTGCTCACTGTCATAGCTGCTGTCATAGCTTCTCACTGTCATAGCTGCTCACTGTCATAGCTGCTGTCATAGCTTCTCAGTCATAGCTGCTCACTGTCATAGCTGCTGTCATAGCTTCTCACTGTCATAGCTGCTTGCTGTCATAGCTGCTCACTGTCATAGCTGCTTGCTGTCATAGCTGCTTGCTGTCATAGCTTCTCACTGTCATAGCTGCTGTCATAGCTACTCACTGTCATAGCTGATCACTGTCATAGCTGCTTGCTGTCATAGCTGCTCACTGTCATAGCTGCTTGCTGTCATAGCTGCTTGCTGTCATAGCTTCTCACTGTCATAGCTGATGTCATAGCTGCTCACTGTCATAGCTGATCACTGTCATAGCTGCTCACTGTCATAGCTGATCACTGTCATAGCTGATCACTGTCATAGCTGATCACTGTCATAGCTGATCACTGTCATAGCTGCTCACTGTCATAGCTGATCACTGTCATAGCTGATCACTGTCATAGCTGATCACTGTCATAGCTTCTCACTGTCATAGCTGCTTGCTGTCATAGCTGCTCACTGTCATAGCTGCTTGCTGTCATAGCTGCTTGCTGTCATAGCTTCTCACTGTCATAGCTGCTGTCATAGCTGCTCACTGTCATAGCTGATCACTGTCATAGCTGCTGTCATAGCTGCTCACTGTCATAGCTGCTGTCATAGCTGCTCACTGTCATAGTTGCTGTCATAGCTGCTCACTGTCATAGCTGCTCACTGTCATAGCTGCTCACTGTCATAGCTGCTGTCATAGCTGCTGTCATAGCTGCTCACTGTCATAGCTGCTGTCATAGCTGCTGTCATAGCTGCTCACTGTCATAGCTGCTCACTGTCATAGCTGCTGTCATAGCTGCTCACTGTCATAGCTGCTGTCATAGCTGCTCACTGTCATAGCTGCTTGCTGTCATAGCTGCGTCATGTTGAGGACAAACCACAAACGTTGATAATGAATACCATTACCTGGATCATACCTGGAGAGGGTTTTGAGAGTGCTTCTACTCCCCGAGCCTGAGGCCAGGGTAACCTTCAGGTTATACATTGAAAGTTAATTCTGTACTGAAAGTTCTATTTTGTCTGTTAAGCTTGCCAGCTTGTCCTCACATTAGCGGCTTGCTGGTAAGCCGCCCAGCACCGGGCGCCAGGTCCTAGATTCACGAAGCAGTTACACAAGCACTTACGAACCTGGGGCCAGATTCACGAAGCAGTTCCGCAAGTACTTATGTACGTGTACATCTTTCCTCAATCTTTGACGGCTTTGGTTACATTTATTAAACAGTTTACAAGCGTGAAAACTTGCCAATCAACTGTTGTTATTGTTATAAACAGCCTCCTGGTGCTTTGGGGCTCATTATCTGTTTAATAATTGTAAACAAAGCCGCCAAAGATTGAGAAAAGATGTACAGGTTCGTAACTGCTTCGTGAATCTGGCCCCAAGGTATTAAATACAGCCAGCGTCACTCTGAGGCACGGAAGGAGGAACAGGTGAAGTAGATGAGTAAATGGAAGGTGAGGAAGGTGAGGAAGGTGAGGAAAATGAGTGATATAGGAGGGGAGGGAAGAAGAGGTCGGCCGAGCGGACAGCACGCTGGACTTGTGATTCTGTGGTCCCGGGTTCGATCCCAGGCGCCGGCGAGAAACAATGGGCAGAGTTTCTTTCACCCTATGCCCCTGTTACCTAGCAGTAAAATAGGTACCTGGGTGTTAGTCAGCTGTCACGGGCTGCTTCCTGGGGGTGGAGGCCTGGTCGAGGACCGGGCCGCGGGGACACTAAAGCCCCGAAATCATCTCAAGATAACCTCAAGAAACTCAGGAGGGTGGTGTTCTGACAATGAGTAGTGGCTTCCTGACGGATGAATATGAGTGTTGACTTGACCGCAACACCTTTGACAAGGTAGGAAACTGCTCTTGACACCACCTGAAGTGTGGTGATCGAGTCATCTTGGGGCAGTTGCCTCAAAGGGGGGGGGGGTGATAGGGAGGAGGTCGGGAGGCGAGGGGAAGGTACGAAAGAGTGGTGATAAGGGGCAGAAATGTTCGTCAGAGAGATACGGGCTCGCCATAGCCCGTGCTACATGGACACGTTCTCAGTAGCTAAATCTAAAACAACGACAACTTACGTTAGTGAATCCAGATGACTGGTCGTTATCTTAAGTAGTTACCAGCTTCAACAAGGAGGGGGTTGGCAGGTGACAGTTGACAGGGGTTCTCCCACCTGTCAAGGCTGTAGGGGAGACAAAAATGGCGCCTGTTTGGGGTTTATCATTATTTATTGTGAGGCGCCGAGGACGGGGGAAACAAACGAAGGGAGAATTGCGCTTCTTAAGACGTGGACGAAAAGTGGGAGTGTACCCTATGCCTTCCTCTTCCCTTCACTTGCCCTGTGGCTCCTTTTCCTTCCTATCCACTCCCTTCAGCCGTATTCGCCGGGTCTCTATCCACATTCCACCCTCTTCCCTTCTACTCTCTTCGCTCTCCTATCTCTCTTCCCTCTCCCTTTCTCTCAACCCCTACCTTCCAACCCCCCCCCCGTCCCCCCCCCCCCCACTGCCCGTCACCCCCGCCCGTCACCTTCACTCGAGGGGCGTCACGTCAGCGGCTCCGATAACGTCGGGGGTTCGACTTTTGGCTTTTAGTGTGGCGTCGCAATTTTCTTTTGAAGGGGCAAAGTGTGCGGGAGGGTTGACGGGGGAGGGTTGACGGGGGAGGGTTGACGGAGGGTTGTTGTGGTGGAGGGTTAGTGGTGGGGGGGGGGGGGGAGGTGTAGAGGGAGGCTATTGTAGAACCTTCCACTTGACACACACACACACACACACACACACACACACACACACACACACACACACACACACACACACACACACACACACACACACACACACACACAACCACAGATATCCGAGGTAAAATTTCGAAAATATTCAGGAAAGGTATAATTGATCATCTGAGAAATACTAACCATTTAACTGAGAGACAGCTTAGTTGTACAGAGGAAATGACATGCATGATGAACCTATGAGAATCCTTCGACAAGTTAGGGAAGGTGAGCCTTACCTCTCTCCCCTTACCTGTCTCCCCCTTACCTGTCTCCCCCTTACCTGTCTCCCCCTTACCTGTCTCCCCCTTACCTGTCTCCCCCTTACCTGTCTCCCCCTTACCTGTCTCCCCCTTACCTGTCTCCCCCTTACCTGTCTCCTACTTACCTGTCTCCCCCTTACCTGTCTCCCCCCTTACCTGTCTCCCCCTTACCTGTCTCCATCTTACCTGTCTCCCCCTTACCTGTCTCCCCCTTACCTGTCTCCATCTTACCTGTCTCCCCCTTACCTGTCTCCCCCTTACCTGTCTCCTCCTTACCTGTCTCCTACTTACCTGTCTCCTCCTTACCTGTCTCCCCCTTACCTGTCTCCCCCTTACCTGTCTCCCCTTTACCTGTCTCCCCCTTACCTGTCTCCCCCTTACCTGTCTCCTCCTTACCTGTCTCCCCCTTACCTGTCTCCTCCTTACCTGTCTCCCCCTTACCTGTCTCCTCCTTACCTGTCTCCCCCTTACCTGTCTCCCCTTTACCTGTCTCCCCCTTACCTGTCTCCCCCTTACCTGTCTCCCCCTTACCTGTCTCCCCCTTACCTGTCTCCCCCTTACCTGTCTCCCCTTTACCTGTCTCCCCCTTACCTGTCTCCCCTTACCTGTCTCCCCCTTACCTGCCTACCCTTACCTGTCTCCCCCTTACCTGCCTCCCCTTACCTGTCTCCCCCTTACCTGTCTCCACTCACCTAGCTCATCCCACCTGCCTCCCCTCTCATCGTAATTAATACAAATTGTGGAATTGATACGGGGATTATGGTGGATTAATGAAGGGATTTTGGGAGGGTTGGCAGGGTTGGCGATTACTGGGATGCTGAGAGGATTAGTAATGTGCTAAAAGGAGGATTGATAGGTTTGTGTGGAGGATTAGCAGCATCCTTGAAAGAGGGTTGGGGGGGGGTTGAGCGGGTTAGTTGGGCACTTGGAGGATTGTTAGTGTTGTAATGACCAATTGTGTACTGAAAGGAGTGTCTGAAGCTGTAAGGATTACTTGTGAATGATACGAGACCTGATATTCACCAGTATGTCACCTCATTTGACATATTATAAGTCTGGGATTACCCATCAGAAAGGCAATGACGTTCTTTCCACATGGCTAACGCAGCCTAAGAGAAGAGACAATATAAACGATAGCTTGTC